CACACCCTCCGCCCCCAACACGACACGGGGACCAGTAGCTCATCCCAGACCGGGGGGGGGGGAGAAGAAAAGATGGGGGGAATTTTTGGGTGGCAAAAGGAGGGTTTTGGGGGCGGCACCTCCACGAAGTTGGTGTGCTTGGCGTCGCGCACGGTGACCACGGCGTGGACCTCCTCGATGAGCTTCTGCTTCTCGTCGTCGTCGAACTGCATGTACCACTTGGCCAGGCGGGTCTTCCCCGCCCGGTTCTGGATCAGGATGAAGCGGATCTGCCCCGGGAAAAAGGGGGGGGAGAAGGGATTTGGGGGGGGAGGGCACGCGGGAAGGAGTTTGGGGGGTCCCCTCGCCCGCTTTCGGGGTGTTTTGTTCCCCCTGGGAAAGGTCTTTGTGCCTCCCTGGGGGACTCCCGGGGTCAGGTTGTGGGGTCATGGTGATGGGGGGCACCGGGGGTTGCCTCCTCCATCCCCCTCAAGCTGTGCCACCCCACGGGGGTGTCCCAAAATTTGGGGGGTCCCTTCGCCCGCTTTCGGGGTGTTTTGTTCCCCCTGTCAAAGGTCTTTGTCCTCCCTGGGGGGTCATGTTGTGGGGTCACGGCGATGGGGGGCACTGGGGGCTGCCCCTCTCCCCCCTCTCAAGCTGTGCCACCCCACGGGGGTGTCCCAATATTTGGGGGGTCCCCTCACTCGCTTTCGGGGTGTTTTGTTCCCCCTGTCAAAGGGGGAACCTGGGAAAGGTCTTTGTCCTCCCTGGGGGACTCCCGGGGTCACGTTGTGGGGTCATGGTGATGGGGGGCACTGGGGGGTTGCCCCCTCCATCCCTCTCAAGCTGTGCCACCCCACGGGGGTGTCCCAATATTTGGGGGGTCCCCTCGCCCGCTTTTGGGGTGTTTTGTTCCCCCTGTCAAAGGTCTTTGTCCTCCCTGAGGGGTCAGGTTGTGGGGTCATGGTGATGGGGGGCACTGGGGGTTGCCCCTCTCCCCCTCCCAAGCTGTGCCACCCCACGGGGGTGTCCCAATATTTGGGGGGTCCCCTTGCCCGCTTTTGGGGTGTTTTGTTCCCCCTGTGAAAGGGGGAACCTGGGAAAGGTTTTTGTCCTCCCTGGGGGGCTCATGTTGTGGGGTCACGGCGATGGGGGGCACTGGGGGGTTGCCCCCTCCATCCCCCCCAAGCTGTGCCACCCCACGGGGGTGTCCCCATAGGGGCAGTGCCATGGGAGCCCCCCAAGCACCCCCATCCCTCCCCCAGGCTGTTCCTTACAGGGGCAGGAGAAGGGGGCTTGCTATGGACCCCCCCTGTGCNCCCCGCCGTGAAGAGGCTGGCGAGGGACTGAGGGGCACGGGGGGGGGGCACAGGGGGGTGTTCGGGGCACCGGGGGTGAGGGGTGGGGGACAATAAACCCCCCCAAACCCCTGTGATGCCCACCAGGCTCCTCTGTGCCAGGAATGAGGGGTGGGGGGGGGTCAATAAATCCCCCAGTGGTCCCCCATCCACCCTGTGGGTCCCTCTGCCACGCCACCTGTCCCTGGTGCCACCCTGGGGGTCCCTAATAGTCCTTAGCTAACTCCAGGGGTCCCACATCCACCCTGGGGTCCCTCTGCCACCCCACCCGTCCCTGGTGCCACCCTGGGGGTCCCTAACAGTCCTTAGCTAACTCCAGGGGTCCCACATCCACCTTGGGGTCCCTCTGCCACCCCACCCGTCCCTGGTGCCACTCTGGGGGTCCCCAAGAGTCCCCAGTTAACCTAGGGGTCCCACATCCACCCCGAGGCTCCCTCTGCCACCCCCCCTGTTCCTGGTGCCACCCTGGGGTACCCCAGAGCTCCACATCCACCCTGGGGGTCCCTCTGCCACCCCCCTGTCCCTGATGCCACTCTGGGGGTCCTCAAGAGTCCCTGGTTAACCCAGGGGTCCCTCATCCACCCTGGGGGTCTCACTGCCACCCTGGGGTACCCCAGAGCTCCACATCCACCCTGGGGGTCCCTCTGCCACCCCACCTATCCCAAAACACCCTGAGGGTCCCTCTGCCACCCCCCTGTCCCTGGTGCCACCCTGGGGGTCCCCAAGGGTCCTCAGTTAACTCAGGGTTCCCACATCCACCTTGGGGGTCCCTCTGCCACCCCCCCTGTCCCTGGTGCCACCCTGGGGTACCCCAGAGCTCCACATCCACCCTGGGGTCCCTCTGCCACCCCCCTGTCCCTGATGCCACTCTGGGGGTCCCCAAGATTCCCCGGTTAACCCAGGGGTCCCACATCCACCCTGGGGTCCCTCTGCCACCCCACCTATCCCAAAACACCCTGGGGGTCCCTCTGCCACCCCACCTGTCCCTGATGCCACTCTGGGGGTCCCCAAGAGTCCCCGGTTAACCCAGGGGTCCCACATCCACCCTGGGGGTCCCACTGCCACCCTGGGGTACCCCAGAGCTCCACATCCACCCTGGGGGTCCCTCTGCCACCCCCCTGTCCCTGGTGCCACCCTGGGGGTCCCCATGAGTCCCCGGTTAACCCAGGGGTCCCACATCCACCCTGGGGTCCCTCTGCCACCCCACCTATCCCAAAACACCCTGGGGGTCCCTCTGCCACCCCACCTGTCCCTGGTGCCACCCTGGGGTACCCCAGAGCTCCACATCCACCCTGGGGGTCCCTCTGCCACCCCACCTATCCCTGGTGCCACCCTGGGGG